GCACAATCTATACCATCTATTACAATAATATATAGATATTAGAAATTGATTTCGCAAAATTGTTTCTGTATTATGCAGTAAACAAAATATATAGTAGCTTAAAGCTCATTTCACTACGCGTACGTACTTAGTACAGTAATGGGACCAATATATATTATATATCTACTATAATAATATACAGATATTAGAAATTGATTTCGCAAAATTGTTTCCATATTATGCAGTAAACAAAATATATAGAAGCTTAAAGCTCATTTCACCACGTGTACGTACTCAGTACAGTAATGGGACCAATATATATTATATATCTCTATTATAATAAATACAGATATTAGAAATTGATTTCGCAAAATTGTTTCTGTATTATGCAGTAAACAAAATATATACTAGCTTAAAGCTCATTTCACTACGCGTACGACTCAGTACAATAATAGAACCAATACCTGCACGCTTTTCTTGCTCCCTAAGCTAGCCTGTATATCTCCAGCATTTTACTGCGCATCCAATCAACAATGGATTCTGTCTCAGTAATGAATCGTGAGCCAATCAGAGCAAAGAGCATTTCTATGTCGAGCCCCGCTAACGAATCGAACTGCGGCTTGTAGGCGTACAGATGTAAGACCCATTATTGTACCTTTCTTACTTTACCGAAATCAGCTATCTCATTGGAAGAAAATCTACTTACCCTTCTAAATCTATCGCAATTCTCCTTCTTGACAATTTTCTAACTGGTCCGTTATCCAGCCAACAACTATCTAACCAATCACAAATCGTAATATATAAGGGAACTATACTCCCCCCTCCTATACACTATTTTCAATTGTACTTTAGTTCTTCCAATGGCCGCAAAGCTCCGGCTCGGCTATAAGAGTGGGCGATCTTTCTACGACCGGTGCTTCTGTGCAGGTTCCGCTGCATGTGCTGACATCAAGGTGCTCGGAGGACTCATACATTGAATTGTTTTTATAATTACCATTATTGTGAACTGTTGTTACCCACGCGAGCTTTTCGTTAACGTAGTAGCTTCTTGTTCCACCTGGAAAGACCAGTGACTGTATCGGCTAGAAGTGATTCTATCGGGTGAGTCTAGAACGCCATAAGATCTGTGTTCTTTCATTCGACTGCTCGGAGGGAAGAACTCGAACGAAAGCAAGCATGAAACAAGGGACTTATTACCAGTTAGAAACAATATTTACTAGATCTCGCTGATCAAGCATTTTCGTATTTATCTGAAACGTGTTCGAAGCTCTCGCGTCGGTGTATCCAGCGTTATGGATTCTTGAACGAAGAAAAATCGCCATGCTTGCTTGTACAACCCGGGCGGCCCCCTTGTCCTCGAATTCTTGCACAGTACACGAGTTAAGAGATCTACTTGTTTTCGAACAGCTCGGTTCGACGCTACTTTTCTAATCGATTTCGCTTTATAGAAACACGTGTCTTTAAATGTGCGCGCTAACGGTTAAACAAAGTTTAATATAAAATTGTCGAAATCGAATGCTGGATCTCCGTTCCGAGTTTTTACTGTGTTTATCGTCTGCGAACGATATAGTTATATACTATATATTTGTGTTTGTTTTGCAGAGGATTGAATTAAGTGGAAGTGAATATACAAATCCACGTACAAAAAAATTCTGTGTGGAATATAGACCGCTTTTAACTTTCTTTTTTTATTATCGTTTCGATATTTCTCTGAGCTGAGCACATCACTCTCAGGTGATATTCAGAGAGCCACTTAGATTGATGTGCGTTTAATGCACATTTCATCTAAACGTACTTTTGTTTTTTTCTTTTATTACAGAGTGACTGCAGATTTTATATACTCGCAATAAAAATTTAACGTTTTTTCGTTAATTATTGAATATAGTTCGTGTTTTGGAATATTTGGATCGCACGTTTGGTTNTTGAATCTATTAATTATATATATTTAAATTATATTCTACAAGCCTTATACCTATGAAGTAAGCTAGTCATGCTCAGTTTATTTATCCAAAATTTTAAATAAAATACGTTATTAAAA